ACACACACACACACACACACACACACACACACACACACACACACACACACTAGCTCATTTTAAAACTGCTTTATTGCCTCTATGGCTAGGCTTTTCTAAGCCTTCCGCGGCTAGCGTACCCTTACCTTTACTCCTAGTTTGACATCTCTAAATCTGCCCTCAATTTAGTTGCCTGGTTACCTAATCTGAAGCCCATTGGTCTTGTGGCCCAAGACACTTTTGGACTGCCCTTCTGTGGGCCACTTTTCTTTTCCGTCTACATTTTGGAATATCTCCCCTGCAGCTCTCAGTCTGTTCTCTCTCTCCCCAAGTCTTCCATGCTCCCCTTCTGCCCTCTCTTCTCTTCTAGCCTGCAGGAATCTGGAAGTCCCGCCTCTTTCTTTCCACGCAACCATTGGCCACTGGCATGTTTATTGACAGTTCAAAAACCAATTGGGGGCAAGTATCTTCAGCGTCAGTAAACCCAGATTCCAGATTAAATCAGAGCATCAGAACCACTCATTTACATAGGAATGCTACCTAAGTAAAATCAAAGACTTTCTAAATAATTGTGACATTAACTCAATGAATAATTTTAATTGCCTTTAACTTTCAAGCTTTGTAACACTCACTGACTTTACTTTTAAGAAGTCGTGGTAGAGGTTTAGGGTCAGATACGTCCTGGACTAAAGGTGAAACTGCAAAAACCAAGTATAGTGAACCACCAAATGATCAGAGATTAATCTGTTTCATTGTCTAGTTAATGATTCTGAACCAATCACATTATAATATGCAAATCATTTTAACAAAGATAGTGAATGCCATTTTAAACAACGTTAATACCATATATGTCCTTGTTTTTAGAATCCATTCAAAGAGAAACTTCTAGAAATTATGGCAAGCATTCAAACTTACTGCCAAAAGAGTCCAATGTCAGATTTTGGAACACAGCATTATGAGCAATGGGCCATTCAAATGGAAAAAAAAGGTAATTTGGGTTTTGACCTAACAGCTTTTCCTTTGTTTACAACCAAGATTTCAGATGATCCTCGCAGACTCAGAAGTTATCTGATAGCAAATGGAACTTGAAGCAGAATTTCTGTTTGTGTAGGGCAAGCCCACACATGTTCCAACCCCTCATCTAAGGAAAGAGGTGTCAATTCATACAGTTTTCACTTTCATTTATTATATATAAAGTAATACAGCAGCTATCAACAGCTCTGTCTCCAAAGGCAATTTTACTGAGATGTTTCCCAAGCTTTTCCGTTAAGGTTCAGGTCCTCGTTCCCGCTCACACTGAGCTCAGGCATCCAGCGACAGAGTTGAAAGTCACCCTCTTTAGAACTCATGGCCATACGGAGCCTTGCCCATGCCAGCGCCACGGTGAAGTTAGTTCTGAGCCATAACCTGTTTAAGCTCACAACACATTTATGGGATAGTTTTCTACCCTTTGCCTCACTCACAGAGTTTATTCTTCCAAAGCTGCTAAAGACGGAAATCGCAAAGATCGCGTCTGTTTGGAACATTTGCGGAAGTACAACGAAGCCCTACAAATCAACGACACGATCCGAATGATTGACGCGTACAGCCACCTGGAAACGTTCTACACTGATGAGAAAGAAAAGAAGTTTGCAGCCCTCAACGACAGCGACGAGAGTGACGATGAGGCCAGCAGTCGCAATGACCAACTTAAGGGCAATGTAAAGAAGTCTTTGAAACTGGACGAAACGGATGAATTTCTCATGAATTTGTTCTTTGGTAAGATTCAATATAGCACAAACCATGTGTTCCTGCACCGTCCTCTCAGACAGGAACTCACGGCTTTCTTTAAGTCTTCCAGAAGGCTCTCAAAATTCATCTTGAAAGAAAATCCCACGAAGACTGTGGTTTATAATTTACATGACAGGTTAACGTTTAGTTATGTGACTGTAGTTAATCATTTGATCATACAATTTTACTGCCTAGACTATTGTAATTAATTAATTAATTAGTCTAAGCACTAAATATAATCACAAGATTTCCTACCTATGAGTCATGTCTTAGAGTATCATGTAAAATTTGCCACTGTAATTTTTTTAATGTACTGATGCAAACTAATTTTATTTTCAATAGTTTTTAAGTTATGTTTTTCTTTAATAAATCAACTGAAATTGGACGCGTTTATGACACACCACAGGGTGTGTGAGTGCATTTAGTGGAGTAGCTAAATCAAGCTAATAACATGAATAATTATTTTTAAAGATAACAAGAAAATGTTGAAAAAACTAGCTGAAAACCCAAAATACGAGAATGAAAAACTCATTAAATTAAGAAACACAATACTGGAACAATTCACAAGGTCTGAAGAGTCCTCCCGAGGAATTATTTTCACAAAAACACGGCAGAGCACCTACGCACTTTCCCAGTGGATTACGGAAAATGCGAAGTTTGCGGAAGTTGGAGTCAAAGCCCATCACCTCATCGGAGCGGGACACAGCAGTGAGGTCAAGCCCATGACTCAGGTGAGGCCTCCTTTTGTAACCCATTCCTTAAACTTCAACTAGTCTACTCTCATTGCTTGTCATGGCTCTCCGTTCTTTCACCATCTCACAGACAAATTCGCAGAGGCTCTTGGCTTTGGTATGCAGTGGCCAATATACACCAAGTACCACACGGCTGATAGTGGGACACGGGTTATGGAAGAAGCCCGCTTTCCGCTTTCCTTTTTATAAACGTACAGTAGCTTCTCGAGTTTGGCACCTCTTGTAAAAATGAGTAACTTTTACCTTAACACCATCATAAAGAAATGTTTACAATATACAATCCAGTGGAGTTGCAAAACTGCTCAGAATGTGTGGATTATAACCAAAACTGGAAGAATTAAAGACTGTGTTAGGGAGGGGAGATTGAGAAGGTTTCTGCCGTTGTATCAGTTTTGAAAATTATATTAGTAATTGTGTGTACAGTTAAGAGAACTCTTCTCAGTGGCAAAAAAGACACTTGTAAACTGTAAACAATTTTCAGTGTTCTCCTGGAAGCTAAGTTTCCCTTGAATCTTTCTAGTGGAAAGGGTATTTCAGTTCTGTGATATTGTTCACACACTGGAAGGAACCAAAACCACGTAGTGTTTATGTAAAAAAAGGAAACTTGAAATTGCCCACTCTGACACTCAATCTGTGCACAGTCCCTTGAGATAGATCCTTATCCAGTTTACAGCCAGGGGTTGCCAGCCAGAACATCCAGCAGTGCACTGACACCTCGTGAACCCCAGCAGACTCATCTGTCCTGTTAGCAGTTAGGTAGATACTTGCTCTGAGGGCCGAACACTGAGCCTGCAGTTTCGTATTCAAGTACTGTTTGAAATTAAGGCGCAGTTCTATGTTAAAATCCAAGACATCGTTTTTAACACTAGACGTGAAGGAATAGAGCAGAGCTTTGCCACACGGTTGTGGTTGTGAGGAGTCTTGCTATGTTGTTCTTCTATAGTGGTGAGCATCGTAAAAGCTCATGTTACCTTTAAGAAGAAAGGAGAGGGCATGGGAGAGCACACACTTGCTCTGGATGATGAGTTTTACAAAACTTATAAGGATAAAAGTATGCACAGAATGTCACATAGGCTAGCAGCTCCGGTGAGATTAGAGTGGAAATAAAGTACCAAGGACTGTCCATGTCACATGAGGTCATACTTCAATATATTTATATTAACTTTCAAAGTTGACATCGAAAAAAATCCTCCTGTGATTAGGCTGTAGTCACATACTCGTCCACGTTTAATTTACATTGCCTTTTGAATAGACCTTATGTTAAAGCTAAACCTTCCTCAGAGTAACGTTAAAGAATAGCTCTGACTGACACAGCTGCCAGCTCCCCTGCCTCCCCCTACGGTCGACCGCTAGACTTCCACGCCCTCCAGAAGGGTTCCTGGTATGCCTGGCTTTGCCCCCGTTTCTCTTGCTAGAGAGCTTGGCCTCTTGATCACCACAACAAAAATTGGCTTTTTCCTAAACCAAGGCCACCCTTGATATGGCCGCTAACATTGGGGAGCCTTCCTTTATGACAATATTACACCCCAAACTGACAAATGGTTGGTAAATTGAACATTTACAAGGGACTAGGATGGCTGTGAGTTAGCCCAAGGACGGGATTATTGTAGGTCCACTTCCCAGGGGCCCACCCAATGCATCCGAAAAGGAGTGCGTGGTGCTGGGAGTGGGTGCAGCCTACATGGCCTAAGACAGGGCTCTCACCCTCCTTTCACCCACATCGGAGTCCCTTGACGTTGCCCATCGTCGACAGCCTAAAACCTTCGACCATCGATGTGACTCGTCTCACATCAGTGTTTTGGGGTTGTGAACTTGTCTAAGACCCCCCCCCATAATTAGACATCCAAATTCAAAATTCACATAATTGGGATTGATCATAAGATGCCTTCTCTAACTAAACAGAGAAGGGGGAGATGCCAGAAGCCAGGACCCTCTCCCTTACCCTCACCCCCTACCTTTCCCCACCTGCACAATGTCCTCTGAAGCTTGGCAACTGCAAGATCCTGCTTGGCAACTGCAGATAGACTCAAATCAGTGTACCATATCATCGTAAGAATAGCAGGGAGACCATAACTCAAGCAGTGTACCATATCTTCTGAAGAACAGCAGGTAGATCATAATTCAAGGCAGTGTACCGTATAGACCATGACATGTTTCAAGGCACAGGCCAAGAAGATTTTGTACTTTTCCACCACCTGGCCCCTCTTATCCCCTCCCCTTGTAAAACATGCTATAAAAAAGCATTTCATGTTCAATAAATAAATAAATAAATAAATAAATAAATAAATAAATAAATAGAATAGCTCTGCTTTCTCCTGTTCCAGCTTTCCTTCCTGGACTTGTGAACTTTTTTTCCTGTGGCCTTTCTGAAATATTCCATAGGTTTCTTTCCCGGATGATTCTTAACGTGACTGGCTGTAGCATATAATCATGGGGGACTTTTCAGTGTCTCAGAAGCAATAGAAAATGTTGAGTGAGTTTTATTCCCTAAATATCACACTCTGACGTTAATATATTAAAAGGTAACCCCTATTTTAGCCCTGCCAAAGCCTTTTCTCAGCCAGCAACACCTCTCCATTTCTTCCTTTCAAATCACCCATCAATTTATTTCCTTGGCATAGAGAGACTTCTTCCCACCTCCAGACTGCAGGATGGAAATATTTTTGTTATTGTGTGGTAATCCCAGATTGGAAATCAAATGTTGTCTCACCATCATGTCTTTGTTCATTGCCAAAAACAGATGGCAGCAAATCCGTGTATGATCTAATCCTCTGATTTACACTGACCAGTTGCAATTTATTATTTCTTCTACTAATTAGAAGATCCGAATGTGTTTAGCATCACAAAATTTAATTTATTAAAATGTTTCCACAGACTGAACAAAAAGAAGTCATTAGTAAATTTCGCACTGGGGAAATAAATCTGCTTATCGCTACTACAGTGGCAGAGGAAGGCCTGGATATCAAAGAATGCAATATTGTTATCCGTTACGGCCTTGTCACGAACGAGATAGCCATGGTCCAGGTATGTGCAGAGATCTGTGCCTAACATGTTCCTTCTCATCCCTGTGCTCCATGGAGATTCCTCCCTTCTACTAAAACAACACAAAACCTTTTTATCTGTGTTTCTGCTAAAAGACCAGCGTTAAAGAACTGCAAGACACTGCTTTTTATATGACTGCTCTTTCTTGAACTCCTATGGCAACCTCCTGTACTTTAACTAACAACTCTATTTTGATTGCTATTTCTATGTCTTGGACATCTCCCAGATTGTCCCTGACATCCTGTTCCTAACTGCCTTCTATGTATAACTTCAGAAGAATGTACCCCCACCCCAAACTGGGATGGGGTGAGCATCCTTGTGGATACCAGTTCAAGGAGGGATCATGTGAGGCAGAGCTATCCAAAACATATGTCCAGATTTTCCAAGACCATGCATGATATTGTTCATTATAAGGGTTGAAAGAGGACTCCTCAGTCTTCAGATGTCAGTGAGCCCCCAGAGGGATAAGGAATCTGAAACACACTGACCACAAATCCCACTCAGACCTTAGGGAGCCCTGCAGTTCTGTTTTCCTCATGCAGTCAACTTTTCTATATTTTTAATTTTTCATAAAATATGGAGTGGCGTCATTTATAAGTACAAGAAAAGGAAGAAAGAAAGAAAGAAAGAAAGAAAGAAAGAAAGAAAGAAAGAAAGAAAGAAAGAAAAGGAGAGAAAGAAAAAATAAAGAGAGAGAAAGGAAAAAGATAGATTCAGTTTCTAACCTCTCTTACTCATCTATATTAATAAATTCATGATTTGTAGAAAACTTAGGATAGAGAAAATATATGACATTATTCTTAACATGTGAAAGGTTCTTTTTAATTTCTTTTTTAAATCCTTGGGTGGGTGGCAAGTTATAGAAGATGAAGCTCATTAGGCAGCCATCTTGCTAGAAAGCAAGATTATTTCAGGAAATGATCCGTAAGTCAGAGTCTTATGACTACAATATGTGTGTAGTTTGCCTTCAGAATAGTATTGTAGTTGATAGTTAAGCTCTTGGGCTAGATAACCAAAGCTTATACTATTAAAACTATGTCTATACTAACCCCAGTGATTGATCTAGCCTAGTGTCCCACCCCTGGTCAGTGTTAGGTATCCATTCTCCATTGGATGACCTGATATCTTTGTACAAATGGACGTCACTAAATGAATGGCCTTAATGATCTTTAAAAATCAGGAAGAGGGCAAGGAAGGTATATGTGTGGGGATGAAGGAGAAGCATGAGAGAAGTTGAAGGGGGCAAATGGGAAGGGGACATTATCATATTTTGTTGTTTACTCGAATGAAATTTTTAAAGAACAATAAACAAAACTGATGAGCCTAATTTTCACCTTCTTAAGAGGCCTATAGAAATTTGACTCTTTACTGTGTGTATTTTCCCAGAGACATGTGCGTTAAGTCCGAAGTAGGCTTCCAAGAACAGTTCTGTTGTGCTCAGAATTCCTGGTACCAAGGTCAGAGATGGGCCTTGTCCTCATTCATCCTCCAAATAGATGGCTTTACCGTCCAACCCACTACTCAGGGTTTCTGTGGTATAAAACAGTTGCTCAGGGTGCAATGGGGCTAAATGGGTGGGTGTGTTATTTTGGCCTCTACAAGTTACCAAAATCATTTTAGAACATTGCATTAAAGAACACTTAAATTCAAAAATTTATCCACAAGCCATGGGTAATAACTACCTTTACTAAGAATACAGAGATCATTTGAAGGCTGGGATACTGAACCAAGACTATCTTCTCAGTTTCAAACCAGGACAGCTCATAGCAAGACACAACACTTTTTTTCTTTGTTCATGTTCTCAGGCCCGGGGTCGAGCCAGAGCCGATGAGAGCACGTACGTCCTGGTTACCAGCAGTGGCTCGGGAGTTACTGAACGGGAGATTGTCAATGATTTCCGAGAGAAGATGATGTATAAAGCTATTAATCGTGTTCAGAATATGAAACCAGAGGAGTATGCACATAAGGTATTGTTCTTGGCAAGTATAGTTTTCATTTGAAAATGGCTACATTTGATTGCCACAGATGTCTGTGTGGCTACTTCTTCAGATAGAAATTCTGCTGAGTTACAAGCTTCTGACAGAAGATTTGTTCTTAGTCCAGATTCAAACACAAAGCCCCCAAATCTGGTGTGTGTGTGTGTGTGTGTGCGTGTGTGTGTGACAGGAAATGCTGAGGGAATTTTGATCATTGCAGGGAAACCAAACATCAACTTTGGTAATATAAATTTAGGATGCCCTTTTCCAGAAAGACATGTGCAACTCACTCCTTCAGACCTACCTTGTAGTTTCAACTTGATCCAATCCATGTAAACAAGCACAGTGTCTTTATTATAGAAATATTTATAAAATGCCTACGTCTGCCAGACAATATTTTGAAAGCAGAGAACATGGTGAGAAACACATCATAATACCCTTGCTATGTGAAGTAGAGCTTCTAGTGTGTGGTTGCTGAGGATGGGGAAAGACAATAAACACTAACTTAACAATGCTGGGCATAGTAGCATTGACAAGAAAGCACAATGGAATGAGAGGAGGATTGTGGAGCCAGGCTTGGTGGCTCATGTCTGTAGTCCCAGCATTCAAAAGGCTAAGGTAAGAAAGTTACCCAATGAGTTTGAGGCTATTTTGGACTACATAGTGTGATCCATGCCAGCCTGGGCTATAGAGTGAATCCTATTCCAAAACCCCACAGAATGAAACAAAGAGTAGTAAAGTATAATGTAAAAATACAACTTTATGTCTACTTTTGAGATGCTCCACCTAGAGATTGACACCAAGGCTAATTCTGAATGATGATAACATGTATAATATCTCATACAGCTCTTTCTCAATTTACTGACAGAGCTATTTGAATTGGGTGAAGGAAATGCAGTGGGGAAAAAGAATATATTTATACAATATTTCAGGAAACTTTCATACCACTGAAGTAAAGACTGTAACTCTTATAATAGCAAACAATCCATTTAGAAGAAAATTCACACCCTTGCATATGGGTGTGAATGTTAGTTTCTTAACATTAGAATTGGCTCTACCCTAAATAGAGTTTTAGGGAAGGGATGCTTTCAAATTGTTGTGCAAAGTATATAACCAACTCCAGAGTTTCCTGGCCAGGTTTTCATACAAACATACATTTTAAACCCCCTTAAATATAAAGCAAACCAAACATTTTCCAACAAATAATCCTATTACAGATTTATTCCCTCATACTTACAACTAGAGGCATAGTCACAAATCAGTGAGATTCTCATGAAATCTGATGTGTTATTACTAAATTATCTAGTTCAGCTATAGGACAATCTATAGTTTACAGGTAAGATTCTCCCAATCTGTAGATTAAAACATTGTACTAGTTAGTCTTTTATTATTTTAATGAACTATCTGAGATGGGATGATTAATAATGTAAAGAGGTGCATTAGTTTGACTTAGAGTTAAGGCCACAAGGTCTAACAACAATGTAGAAGGCTCTGTGAGGCCACACCCCCTGATCCATTATTACATTATGGCAAGAATGGATATGTACCTAAACTTCTTGGTGCTCTCTCTGTTATTACCAAACCACTAAAATTCAGCCCTGTGAGTTCAACCCTAAATCCTAATCTGAGATAATCTCTTCTCAAGGGCCCCATTCCTCAGCACACAACTACTTTAAGTATCATTTTTCTTAATTATTAAGTCTTCTTAACACAAGACATTGGGGGTTCAATTCCCGCTTGAATACAGAAGTACAAGCCATATTCAAGCCATAAGAAAGGATCCACTGAGGGACTCCAGGATAGACTATCTTTCTCAGTTTCTCTTGAGCGAGAGATCTGCCCTCTCAAGACTTCTCTGGCAGATGAAAGAGAATGAAGAGCAACAAAGTGGGCAGCTATTATGCTCAAAGCACCCCAGAAAGCATTACTATGTAGTAAGTTACTTACTAAGAGAGCAACTCAACTCCTCAGGTTTGAAATGGCTTTTTAACAGATTTTAGACAACCACTGATAAAGCATGAGAGTTGATACAAAAAAGAAAAATCTATTTTGCATGTCATACTGAACAGTTAAAATTATATCAAACAGCTAGAGTGAACCCAAGCACTCCTCATGACCTGACCCCAAAGGCTTTCCTCCTGTTATTTCTTTGTGCTTGGACTTCGGTAGATTTCAGTAGAAGAGGGAAAACTAAGTTCATCCGGTGCCTTTATCTCTTCATCTTCTAGAGTACACTCTACCTGTGATATGCAATTGTCAGCTCATTTACTTCCATAAGACTATGAAAAAAAATGAAATATTCTTCTCTCCGCACAGATTTCGGAACTGCAGGTGCAAAGTATCTTGGAAAAGAAAATGAAAATCAAAAGAAGTATTGCAAAGCAATACATTAACAATCCATCATTAATAACACTTCTCTGCAAAAACTGTAGTATGCTGGTCTGCTCCGGAGAAAACATCCACGTAATTGAGAAGATGCATCATGTCAATATGACGCCGGAATTCAAGTGAGTACAGCAAGACCCTTGTTTAAATTCCTTCAGTAGAGGTGAGAACAATGGCATTGTACACGTGCTGTTTACAGAGTGAAATTGAGATTTTTTTTCTCATCAAAACTTTCACTTTTGTAGTCCCTCAAATATAATTCTCATTTCTTGTGTTTGCTTTGAAAGTAATTTCTGTTGAGACATGGAGTAATGGTAAGACACGAAGCAATTTTGATGTAAAGTACTTAATTTGTGGATGTTCTCATTTTTTCTTTGAGTGACTGAAAAATTAAAACAACAGCAGACTTTAAAGAAGACCTAGAGACAGTGGGATACTTGTGAAGTGTGTGTGTAGCATGGGGACATCTACCCGATTTTTCACAAAAATTCTGGGGAGCAGAAAATGAGAAAGAATGAGATATCAGTCCAACCGTGTGGGTCATCATCAAGTCCAACATGAACCCATGGCTGCATAATGTCATTTTGTCACATGTCACTGACAATCCTTCTTCCACAATAATTTTAGGAGACTCTATTTTGTAAGAGAAAACAAAGCACTGCAAAAGAAATTTGCTGATTATCAGACAAATGGAGAGATTATCTGCAGATGTGGCCAAGTGAGTAAACTCTAGTGGGTTCAGTTTGACTTTACTCATAAGGCATGTTCCACTGAATGTTGATTTCTCCTTTTTCTTCTGTTTTCTAGGCATGGGGAACAATGATGGTACACAAAGGTTTAGATTTGCCTTGTCTTAAAATAAGGAATTTTGTAGTCAATTTCAAAAATAACTCATCGAAGAAACAGTACAAGAAGTGGGTGGAATTGCCTATCAGATTTCCTGATCTTGATTGCTCTGAGTACTGCTTGTATAGTGATGAAGACTAGCTCTTAATTCATGATTATTTTAAAATGTTGCCAACTCAACATTGAATATGATTTTGACTGATGTTTTTATTACACTATGGAACTAACTCTAGAATATGTAAATGATGTTTTTGTTTTGCTTTTAGTGATGTAAAGAAACACCAAAATATGCATGCATATTATTGGTTGGTAAATGTAATTGTTAATCAAAATTGTCAATTTGATGAGTTCTAAAATCACCTGGGCTCTGGGAATGCCCATGAGGCATTGTCTTAAATTAATTAAGGAAGACTTGTCCACTGTGGGTGGTCCCATTCTCCAGGCTTGTGTCCAGGACTGTATAAAGCTGAGAAAACTAGTTGAACCCACATTTGCTGTCATAACTCTGTGCAATTGATTGTGCAATGCAGTGTGACAAGCTACCTCAAGCTCCTGTCACTGTGGTTTCTGCACAGTAATGGATTATAATCTCAAACTGCGAACTACAATAAATCATTTCTTCCAAAGTTGTTATGGTCAGGGTGTTTCATCACAGCAACAGAAAAGTAACTAAAACAATAGGGATAAGAAAAAAATCTACCAACAATACTCATTACTACAATACGGAAACACTGGCATATAAAAGAGAATCCAAGGTACTGATATCAATCCTGCCACTGATTTTTTTTTCAGATTTATTTATTTTATGTGTATGTCTGCTTGGCCTATATGTATGTATGGGTACCATATGTATTTCTGGTGCCTCTGGAGGTCAGAGAAAGACATCAGATCCACTGAAGTTGGAGTTATGGATGATTGTGAGCCACCATGTGGGTGCTGGGAATCAAACATGGATCCTCTCCATGAGCAACAAGTACTCTTAATCACTGAACCATCTTCCTAGCCTCTCTGTCACTAATTTTTGCAATCAAATTAGCCTCTTCAGTTCATCCTTCTTCCCTATCCTCCCTATGGTGAAATGTTGATTACACTATCTGCTCTACTTTTATTGACACATTTTATGGTTTTAAATACGCCTACTCATTATAGAAGCTGTTTTGTAGGCCAAACGTCTAGATGTTGTTTTCTCACAAGGCTGAAATCTAAGTTTCAGCCAGACTGTTCTGATCCAGAGGCCTTGAAGGAGGGTTCCATGCTCTTTGACCATCCGTTTCCTTGCAGCTGTCTGGCAATGGTTTCTGCTTTCTTGCTACATCTCCACCAGGAATTGCTCTCACTTCCTAGGAATGCTTTATTCTGTGGCCTCTTCAGGAAGTCCCCCAGCACATACCATGTGTTTCTTCAGGGCCCGCAGTAGAAACTCCCAAAGCTACTAAGGAATCTTATGTAACTTAACTATAGTAATAGGAACACAATGTGTTATGCTTTGGATGACGCATCTTGTTGATAGGCAGACTTGATACTTAATCTCACTTGTCAACTGATAAGAGCTACAATTCCCTGGTATAAGGATGTATGGGCATGCCTATATTGCATGGCCAGTAGGCCATGCCCATACTCAAAGCAAGGGGATAATTCAGGATATCATGCGTGAACTGATATGATTTGGGAAGGAATCTTGGGGTCATTTTATAGCGACTTGTTCATTTTTTGCTATTATAACATAGATCCATAGGCGATCACTTTGACAACAGAAAGCTCAATAAAGGAAGCAGTGTTACTAAAACGCAGTATCAAGCAGGTTCAGACTTGCTTCTTCTGTTTTCTCTTCTGCAAACACAGTACCATCCTGGAATACGACCTAATCACCTCTTATGAAGAAGGGAGTGAAGACAGAATTCTTTTGTAGCTTTGATCTATTAGTTTAATTCCATATTAAAATATCCTAAATTTTTTATTGATGAGAACTGAGCCAAATGACAATATGAATCAGAACTCTCGGGAATATAAATGGACAAAAGAAGAATTGGTTTTCTTAAAATACCTTAAGAATTCCATCTAACTCTATTTAAAGTATTGTGTTCTAAATAATTTTGGAAACTGTGCAGGAAATAAAATATTTAATATATCTAAATAGACCACTGTAACATATGTATTGTTTCTGAGGCATTAACAAGTATCAGGGTTTTTTTGTTTGTTTGTTTGTTTGTTTGTTTTGCTTTGTCAATCTTTTTTCTTTATTTCAATAAAAAGAGTTATTTCTACTTTAAAATTAAAGATGTATATTTCAGATACTATTAATTTAATATGTAATGATATATGGCAACTTAAACTTTAGTAGAACATTTCTTTTTAAAAGCATCTACAATTGTTGCATCTCGATAAATGATTATCAAACACTGTAATATCCTTAATATCTTAGCACTAATTAACAGAATATACCGTAACACAAAGTCATGAGTCTGGGATTTAGAGTTCCAGTGTCTTAGTTCATTGGTTGTTTGAATGACTTTCAGCAACTTCATGTTACATATCTGTGTCCTCCTGAGTTCGAATGACTTTCAGCAACTTCATGTTACATATCTGTGTCCTCCTGAGTTTGTTCATGGTTGGATTCATGTTTTCTCACTGCCCTGACGTGTGCTTGGCCTGTGCTTCTTGATCCAAGCCTGTGCTTTTTCTCTAAACCATGAACATGAAATGACTTCTCAAAAGCCATTAGTACATGTCACAAGTAAGTGTTCAAAGTGTACTGTGCTATAAGAAAAGTAGGTGTTTTCTTCTCTGCAGTTCAGTATTGGCTAGAGCAGAAAGTACTGCCTTGGAAAAAAGACATTGCAGATGTTGTTTACAAATCAACTGAAGCAGCCAAGGAGAGTCAGAGTCTCTCTTGCCATTGTAGCTTTTAAGATGTGTGAGTCGCACACATACACTTAGGCGAAGAAGATGGAGAGAAAAACAGATATCTGAATTGCCCAACTTAGGTCACTTCCTGGGTACTGGTGACATTCTATACCTTACCTAATACTCCTGCTACGCTGCCATAGTATTTTTTAGTCACTCTGATCTTTACTCAAATATGAAGCCATTCTTTGACACTTCTTCAGCAGATATTGTTTATGACTCTTTAAAAACAAAATCCAGATGTCACTTCCCAGAATTCAGCTGCATTTACATTTCCACAAGAGAAATGGAGAGAACTTGTAAGGAAAGTATTACTCATTCTCCCTCAGCATAAAATACTCATGAAATCTCTAAATAAGAACATGAGTCAGAGCAAGAAGCAACAAAACAAGACAAAGATTTGATGCTGTTGTAAGAATTGTAAGAATTATGATGTTAATTTGAAACCTTAAAAGTTTGTGCATTTCTTTTGCCTTATTTAGAGTATCGATATGTCTTTGTCTTTGTGCATAGAGTATGTAATAAGATAAAGTCGGATGTAGACCATTACTAATTTGGGAACTTTGAGACGAAGCCACTTAAGGCCAAAGGACATAATAACTATATTGAAGAGCTGTTATCGACACTAGGCACTGAATTAGACAATGGCAGCAGTTAGCATACACAAGATATATCCACAAAGTACAAAGGAGAATGTCTCTGGACAAGCTGAAGTGTCTACAGTAGTCAAAGATATGGAAAGAGCATAGTAATAGATCTGCATTTAATCTTTAAGTAAAATACATGCAGAGTTAAAGTCTCTCACATCAACACTTATCATAAAGGGCCATCCCAAGAAGGAGTAGCAACAAGCATGTTTGTTAATGTGCCATTCAGGGTGGCTAAGAGGGAGAATTTAGCCTCTATGGGCAAAACATAAAAATCAATCAATGTGCACATAAGTGTCATTGTATTCATTCAATGGCTTTCAGACTTAACCAAGTCTAAGAATGATTTTAATTATGATTTATCTTCATCTCAAGAACTGATAGTAATGGTGTGTCAGTGATTGAGTCAGGGACTACATGAGAAAGAGAAACTGGATTATCAGTAGTTACTTTTGTGCAGCACAAATTATAGTTGGTTTCTGTGTGGAGCTAAGTCCTTAAACCTTTTCTCAGATCCAAAGAACCAAAATAGGAACTATGGATCCTTCTCGTAGCCAGGTGAGTCTGACTGATCCTCCCCAGTCCTCACAGCCATTCCAACTTCCAGAACTAGTCCCAGACTCCAAGCCGGGACCAGGAATCCAATACAAAATGGTCAGTCCTGAAGATACACCCATACAAGCAAAATTATGCAGATAGAACAGACTGTATTTATATATTTAGGAATATATACATACACAATGACTAGTTATTCCTGTGTCCAATCAACAAATATACTTAATAAATTAGATAAAAGTAAAGAATGTCCACTTAGGGAATTACGTTTTTAAACACCAAGAATAAAGAATAAATATGAACATTTTCTTCATGGTTTTCAGTATTTCAGAATTAATACAGACAAAATTAGTAATACAGTAAGAAGGTTTAAAGAGAGATGGAGGAAAGAGAACCTTAGGGTTTGGGGAGTTGGAGAGGTTCCCCAGTGTCCTCAGAGTCATTAGCATGTTTGGGGTAGAAATGTGAGGAATCAATGTCTTTAATTGTAGGAATTAATTAACTGTAGGAATCCATAAAAATATAATTTGTTATTAGTTGTCTTTATGCTTTGGAAAAGCAAAAGCCACTCTGAAAACATTTAAGGTAGAAGCGTTTCTGCTCTGAAGATGTGATAGAATGTAGATCTTTCAGAGTCAGTAATATGTGGATAAAAATGTTTGATGAAGGAATATTTCTAGCCCTTATATAAATAAATGCCCATATATTAAGCCAGACATTAAGGAGATTGAACCCTTCTATAAGTAGTTGAGGGAAAAATAATAAGCCTAACGGTGATGTGAACTTCTGATTGAACAGAGGTCAGGATTCTCTGAATGGAATCAAAAGGGCAGGAAAACCCTGTGTGTCTCTGTTTTGACCACACCCCTCCTGTTTAAAGAATGTCCTGAGAACAATCCCATGTTCCACAATTTCTTCTAGACAAAAACCTTAGCAACAAGCCAGTTAGAGTCATCTGCCTGGGTTAGTCTTTACCATATAGCCATTCCATGAAAAAGCCCAGAGTGTCCAAATTTGCTCTGAAGCCAGAAACTGGAAAGACTCAATATTGTTGGCATGTACATCTTCATGAGATATTCCTTCACAAAATTCAGTGATAGTATCAAATAATGCTTAAATTTTTAAAAATATGTTTTATGATGCATCTTCAGTATGGTTGAATTATGCAGTTGAGTCTAGTTGCTATTTCATCAATAAAAATAAACAGGAAGTCTAAATCAGTGAGGTAATAAGCATAGATGACCCTTGAAGGGCTTTGCATGAAAGAGGAAGAGGGAGATGGAAAGTTTTAACAATGGATCCCAAACTTAATGGATCTCATTTCAGACTGAGAAATGAGTCAGGAAGCAATGACATATTTAAAGCGCAGAAGGAAAGAGGAGTTTTGGAAGATGGAAGAAGATGAACACACAAATGAAGAGAGAGAGGAAGGCTAGACAAGAAGGCAGTTCCCATTACATTTAGGAAGCAAAGATGCAAATGTAGAAATGAATGAAAGATAGGCCTTAAGGTAGAAATCC